TTTTAACGCATTTCTTTACATTTCGTTCTCAGAGACTAAACTTCGCTCTCACTCGGCGGCCATCTTTAAACACAGGGTTTTTATTTATTACCGGACTTTTACTAAAGCTCGTTAAAGCAGCGAGTGAGACCAGGAGGAAACTCCAACTGTTTACTGATTTTTACCAAAATAAGTTTAAAAAGCTGCCCCCGGTCCTCTCCCGGTCAGTTTAACGTTTTCCTCCCTCCGGTTAAACTGACGGTCATTTAAACGTCGCCGTGAGTTGAACCTTACACACCGAACACGGACACACTCACATCGGACCGTCCGGACTCTTGAATCCGGGGAGCGTTCTTCCTCCTCCGGGTCTTTATCTCAGATCGTGCCGGGGTCCCGGTGCTCGTGCTCGGCCCGTTTCTCCGGTCCGCGTCCCCTCTGCCTCGGAGCGTCACCATGGTAACGACGCAGGCATAAGCTAACGAGATTAGCCTTAACGACAAAAATAAAGAAGAAGCTCCGAAGAAACTCAGACCTCCGAGTGTCCGCCGGCTGTTTGTTCCCGAAGAGCGTCTCCGACTGTGGAGGCTCAGCTGAAGCTGCAACGCACCCAAACACGAGCTCGATAAGCCGACAGACCGCACAGCTGCACCGCTGTGGTTCAAACGCGAGGGTTCTGCCGCCGCCTGCTGACGTCACGCCGTAATGCACGTGGTGCGTAAACTGTTGATAATAATAATAATAATAATATAAATAATAATATAGATGATTTCAACGCTCTGTCCTGTCAGCGGCTGACTCTCAGAAGGATCGATCTGCGGCTGTTTGCTTTATCAGTGAAGATAATTAATTATTTTAGTGAATAGAAATCCACTTTCTCCCCCCCGTCCTCAAACAACCAGTAATAATGGTTAAATTAAGAAATCTACTTGGAGCCTTAAGTTTTCAATTAAAATAAATCCCATCGAGTATCTCAAAGTACAGAACTGTGCAGCTAAAGTGATGCCACTTTATCAGCCACATAAATTAATTCAAAAGATGAACTCATGTCATTTTTCATGCTTCATATTGTCTTTCATTTTCCTACTTAAACACTCAGTACAGACACTCACTAAAATCTTTTTCTCTTTGCTTTCCTGAAAACTTCCCTCCAATGGGACTGCAGTGGTGATTCCTTTGTTTGTCCAACCAAACATCCAACAATTTAAAATCTACAAGCCACTGCTGAACTGTGGTTATATTTTGTATGCAGGCAAAAGAAGTCCAATGTCCAAAACCTGAAAGTTGCGTTTTATGGTTTATTTATCCAGTTTGGCAAACAATAACAAAGATCCATTTCTGATGCTTAGTGCGGCTTCTCCTGTTTTGATAAAAAAACAAAAACCATAGGCCCTCCCCAGTGCATGCTGGTCCTATACCAGTCTCTTAATTTATAGAAAAAATGGCCCCACAGTTCTTCCTGACTGACTTAATAAGATAAACAACAAAACAAAACAAAAACATGATGCAAGTATTAACCTACAAATAAAACGTGTAAATAACAAAAGATATAAGTTAACCAACAACAAACTTTAACAAATTTCAAAATAATAAAAATAAAGAACAAATCGCTCCAACAAGGACTGCATGAAATTCTCCATCCATCCTTTTCTGGACACACGCTGCTCATGTGGTCAGTTTGCAGGGCTCACTTGAAATTACACCAGGAAACACAATAATAATGAAACAAGACTTATGAACAAACTGAGATAATTTTATTAAAATACATAAAATTCACCTCTGACCTCATGTGACGTTCACTGTGACTGAGGTTCAGCTTAAAGAGGAACGTTTTAAAAACTCATTTCAAAGAACCTCATTTCAATGCTGACTCATCAGTTTCTTGATCTGTAAAATGCATTAAAAGGAAAATATTCCACTTTTAAAAAAGCAAAAACAAAACATACTTAATGCTCTGCATTAAGTATGTTTTGGTAAATCTGGTGTTGTGTGTAGATCTGATGGAGACTTCAGGGCTTCACAGGACTCAGCGTCTCCAGCATACAGCTGTCAGCGACTCAGGTGTCAGTATAGTCTGCAGGGACAAGCAACTGTTTTATTTCATATTTCTTATGTTCAGCAAAACTAAAAATGTCTCCAATAAAACAAATATTTTGCTAAAATATATGTTGTACATTTTCTCTTAATTTTCTAACATATCTCTTATTCCCAGTTCTTGCTGACCCCTGTGCTGCAGTAATGTGAATTTCCCCAGTGTGGCTTTAATAAAGTCTGTGTCTAAATAATGAAGGTTTAAAAAAAATAACTGTTTAGACTGACGCTGTCTAAAACACATTTCATGTGCTCTGTGTTTGTCCTTCGATGTGCGCCGCAATACTGGTCCAGCATGTAACATTTGGCATTTTCCCCATAAGAAAAACAACAAATTGTTTATTTATTTGTATTACATCTGCGTGTGAAACACGTTTAACCTTTAACACACTGGCACCAGCTACATACAGGGGAGTGTTACAAGATGAAGTAAGTTTGGTAAGACATTCATCCGGATCATTTTGGACACAACTGTAAATGTAAATATCTCAATGTTTCGACCACATTAAACTTTGATACTTCCAAAATGAGATTGCTTGTTTCATTTTCACTTCCTGCCGACTTAGTTTCATTCTCTGCATATCCGACCTGCTCCAGTTTTGTTGATACTTCAGTGCTGCTATAACAGGAGCGTTACAGACCTGGGTCGGTGGTGTAGTACTCCAGATTATGGATCTCTGTCCACCTCCGCTGGACTTCTGATGGTCCTCTCCAGGGCAATGCACAGTCTGAGTAGAACAATATTAGATGAATTTCCAGCTTTATAAATAATAGATAAATTATGCAAAACACCAAAATTTCACAGTGAAACTCAAGCCCTCAATACATTAACTGACACAGCCCTAAGCAACAACAGGTCTGAAAACACAGAAAACTTTCTTACCGAAGTCATGCTTAATGTTCTGGTTCTTATAAATGACTTCATAGCTGTACTTAGACTTGTCATCCTTTGAAATCTCCACATGGGCTCTTATCTCCAAGGTGCCGTCTTTATTTGTCTCAGTGTCTGATCTCATCAGACCCTTCTCTTCAGTTACAGTCTCCCCGTTACGCTTGATCTCCACGTCGATGGCTCCCTGGCCTCTGGCGATGCATGTCAAGAGGATTTTTTCACCGTCCTTCGAATTCTGTGCATACGCCTCATCTTCAGCTGGAAGGAGAAAATGTAAAATGATGTAGGGGAGACCGGGGATAGTTGTAACGTGGGTCAGTTGTAACACTTCCAATTTCTCCAATCAGGGCTAAGTTTCAAATGATGTGACTCATCCTGTGCATGCCTAATTCAGTTCTGCTATCACACGTGAAAAATCAGCACATTTTGTCAAAAACAGACAATTTAACACCAAAAAAAGTAATTTGTATGCCAAAAAGTAAGTTTTTCTACTTTATTTCAATTTCTAATAGCATTATCTGCTTTGCAGTTAAACTCATCAAACTTAAATTATGTTATTTGTTTGTCTATGGGGATATATTCTGTGTAGGTCTTTAGTGCTAATGCTTTAGCCGTTGGCTGTAATGTTAGCTAGTTCATGGCTATAGGAGTCTGGGTCAGTTGTAACAGCAACAGTCTGGGTTAGTTGTAACAATAATGCAGATGTTAAAACTTACCACACTATTACTTTAACTTATATTAAGTTAAGTTGGGGCAACGACATCAGCAGAGAGAGGTTCACTGGTCGCTTTTGTATATGCGGTTAATGCCATTGGCAACACAATTGTGTCCTTGGGCAAGACACTTTACCCTACTTGCCTACTGGTGTTGGCCAGAGGGGCCGATGGCGCGATATGGCAGCCTGGCTTCTGTCAGTCTGCCCCAGGGCAGCTGTGGCTACAACTGTAGCTGCCTCCACCAGTGTGTGAATGTGAGAGTGAATGAATAGTGGCATTGTAAAGCGCTTTGGGTGCCTAGAAAAGCGCTATATAAATCCAATCCATTATTATAATGATAATGATAATAATATTCAATTCAATTTTATTTATATAGTGCCAAATCACAACAAAAGTCGCCTCAAGGCGCTTCATAGTAATAATAATAATAATAATGATGATAATAATTATAATGATAATAATTATAATGATAATAATAATAATAATGATGATAATGATAATAATCATATTTTTCATTAAAACTGTTTATGAGTTTCTCCAGGATGACTTTTAACACCCAAAGTTTGATCCTGTGCAACTATTAATAAACGATACTTACAGGAGACGGCGGAGTCAGAGGAGCTTTGAGAGTCTGAAGGAAAGAAATTAATTCAGGAAAACTTGTGAGCTCAATATGTAAAATTAACAATATCACGATAAAAATAATTAACATGGCTTTCATATTTACGCATCACTGCACAGTTGAAAACACACAAACTTGAAAAACTTAAAAAATAAAAAAAAATTGCTGCACAACCAGTAAATTTTTAAGTTCAGGTTTGACTTTTCAAGTGTGTGTAACTTGACAAGTTAACTGCAATAAATTACAGGTAGTAATAAAATAAACTACTAACTCTTTTACGCTGTGTCCGCACCTACACGGGTATTTTTGAAAACGCAGCTGTTTCGTCCACGTAAACGGCGTTTGGAATCACCGAAAACGGAGATTTTTTTTAAAACTCCTTTTTTGCGTTTACGTGTGGACGAGGAATACAGAGTTCGTCACACAATGTCAAAGGTATGTGCCTTGTTCACGTCACGCTGAGCGCCCCATATTTTTTCCTATGAGATGAACTGCAGAATGGCAGATAGAGACAAAACACTGTTAATCTGACTGTCTGCAGGTTTTACACGCTTACGTACACAGATGCAGTTACTGTCCCTCCATTTACAAAGGCAGAGGCGTCATGTGTGATTATTTTACATGTAGTTGTTTTTTTCTGTGTAATAATATTTAACATTGCTATCAATGCATTTCTTAAAAATTGCCTCTCTGTGCAAAATAGGTTTAAAAACAAACAGCTGTGAGATCCTGTTTGTTCGTGATTTAAACCGGGGAACAAATCGTGGCAGGATCAGCCTGATGTTATTTGTATCCCGCTGTAACTTTACTGTATAAAGAGCAAAATTCCCAAAGTGCAGACGGTCTGCACTTTGGGAAGCTGTCTTAGAGGAAGAGGACATTTTTAACAAAAGCTTCTACAGTGGGGCAAAAAAGTATTTAGTCAGCCACCGATTGTGCAAGTTCCCCCATCTAAAATGATGACAGAGGTCAGTAATTTGCACCAGAGGTACACTTCAACTGTGAGAGACAGAATGTGAAAAAAAAAATCCATGAATTCACATGGTAGGATTTGTAAAGAATTTATTCGTAAACCAGGGTGGAAAATAAGTATTTGGTCACCTCAAACATGGAAAATCTCTGGCTCTCACAGACCTGTAACGTCTTCTGTAAGAAGCTTTTCTGTCCCCCACTCGTTACCTGTATGAATGGCACCTGTTTGAACTCATCATCTGTATAAAAGACACCTGTCCACAGCCTCAAACAGTCAGACTCCAAACTCCACCATGGCCAAGACCAAAGAGCTTTCGAAGGACACCAGGAAAAGTATTGTAGACCTGCACCAGACTGGGAAGAGTGAATCTACAATAGGCAAGCAGCTTGGTGTGAAAAAATCAACTGTGGGAGCAATCATCAGAAAATGGAAGACATACAAGACCACTGATAATCTCCCACGATCTGGGGCTCCACGCAAGATCTCATCCCGTGGGGTCAAAATGATCATGAGAACGGTGAGCAAAGATCCCAGAACCACACGGGGGGACCTGGTGAATGACCTGCAGAGAGCTGGGACCAAAGTAACAAAGGTCACCATCAGTAACACACTAGAACGGCAGGGAATCAAATCCCGCAGTGCCAGACGTGTTCCGCTGCTGAAGCCAGTGCATGTCCAGGCCCGTCTGAAGTTTGCCAGAGAGCACATGGATGATACAGCAGAGGATTGGGAGAATGTCATGTGGTCAGATGAAACCAAAGTAGAACTTTTTGGTATAAACTCAACTCGTCGTGTTTGGAGGAAGAAGAATACTGAGTTGCATCCCAAGAACACCATACCTACTGTGAAGCATGGGGGTGGAAACATCATGCTATGGGGCTGTTTTTCTGCCAAGGGGACAGGACGACTGATCCGTGTTAAGGACAGAATGAATGGGGCCATGTATCGTGAGATTTTGAGCCAAAACCTCCTTCCATCAGTGAGAACTTTGAAGATGAAACGAGGCTGGGTCTTCCAACATGACAACGATCCAAAACACACCGCCCGGGCAACAAAGGAGTGGCTCCGTAAGAAGCATTTGAAAGTCCTGGAGTGGCCTAGCCAGTCTCCAGACCTCAACCCCATAGAAAATCTGTGGCGGGAGTTGAAAGTCCGTGTTGCTCGGCGACAGCCCCAAAACATCACTGCTCTCGAGAAGATCTGCATGGAGGAATGGGCCAAAATACCAGCTACTGTGTGTGCAAACCTGGTAAAGACCTATAGTAAACGTTTGACCTCTGTTATTGCCAACAAAGGTTATGTTACAAAGTATTGAGTTGTATTTTTGTTATTGACCAAATACTTATTTTCCACCCTGATTTACGAATAAATTCTTTACAAATCCTACCATGTGGATTCATGGATTTTTTTTTTCACATTCTGTCTCTCACAGTTGAAGTGTACCTCTGGTGCAAATTACTGACCTCTGTCATCATTTTAGGTGGGGGAACTTGCACAATCGGTGGCTGACTAAATACTTTTTTGCCCCACTGTATGTATTAATTATTGCAGGATTTAAAAAATAATTCAGTGCACTGTGTCAAGAACAGCCAATATATGTATTAGTATATTGTACGTACCAGGAATGACAACTTTATATAAGAACAGAAGCACAGCTGAAACTGCAAGAATCCCAACCACCAGTACCAGTAGGACTGTAACTGTGGGGCTCAGAGCTCTGCTCCTAACAGTGTCACTCAGCTGACTTCTGTCTGAAACACAGGAAACATTCACATTGGAATAATTTAAAGACACAACAACATGAAATAAGTCATTATTGCAGGTGAGAAACATGGAGAGCAATGTGTTGAATACTGAGCAGGAAAGGAAACTGAAATTAAATATAGGAATGTAGCGATATGCACAAGGCTGAAAATACAAAGTGGCAGGCACAGAGAAGGCATCGGTTCAGTGCGCATGCGCCAACCAGCGTGCAGCCTGTTACAGTTGCTCTTGCTTTTTCTCTTAGTTTAGCTCTTTTTTCTTACGTATTACTTTGTTCTGACTTGTATTTTCATCCATTTATTATATTTCACTCAATCATGTGGATTGAGTGAGTTTTTGTTCTTCTGGTGGCCGTGGAACTGTTACTTTTATCAAGGAACGGGACCGCGGCACATCTCCTACACGCACGGACTGTTTACTCCAGAGATCAGCTGATCGCCCTGATGCCGGCCGGCTCGCTGGCCAGGCCCGCAGAAGTGCCCGCAGAAGTACCAGCTGAAATTTGGAGGAAAACACATCGGGGATGCAGAGGTCAAGGACAGAAGAGAAGAAAAAAGGTGACGGTGAGACAGCGGAGGCTCGAAGCGAGGAGGAGGTTTAAACCGTGTCTGCCGTCTATCGTGATGGGAAATGTGCGATCGTTGGCAAGTAAAATCGACGAGCTCTCAGCACTGGTACGGAGTCAGAGGGAATACCGAGAGTGTAGCCTGATGTGTTTCACCGAATCATGGCTGCACCAGGTCATTCCCGATGAGAATGCTTCCGTGGAAGGCTTCCACACTGTTCGGGCGGACAGGGACAGCATCGCTAGCGGTAAGCGTAAAGGAGGTGGGCTTGCTGTTTTAGTTAACAACCGGTGGTGTAACCCTGCCAACATAACAATCAAAGAAAGGATTTGTTGCCCGGACACTGAACTGTGTGCTGTTGGACTCAGGCCGTATTATTTACCCAGGGAATTCTCTCACGTCATCTTGGTGGCTGTTTATGTTCCCCCCTCTGCTAACCCCACAGCTGCATGTGACACTATCCACTCTGCCATAGCTCGGCTACAGACTCAGCACCCGAGTGCCTTTATTGTGATCTCGGGTGACTTCAACCATGTATCACTGGACAATACACTACCAACATTCAAACAATATGTGGACTGTCCCACCAGGGGAGAGAAAACTTTAGACTTACTGTATGCTAACGTCAAGGATGCATACAGCTCCTCCTCCCTCCCCCCACTTGGTAGGTCAGATCATAACCTGATTCACCTCACCCCCCGCTATGTGCCAATTGTGAGGAGGGAACCTGTGACCACCAGGACTGTTAGGAGGTGGTCAGAGGAGGCAATAGCGGAACTACAGGGCTGTTTCGAGGTGACCGACTGGGAAACACTCTGTGAGCCTCACGCCGAGGACATCAATGGGCTTACTGAGTGTATCACAGGCTACATAACTTTCTGCACCGACTCCATTGTTCCAGCTCAGACTGTTCATTGTTACCCAAATAACAAGCCGTGGGTGACTAAGGACATCAAAGCCCTCCTCAACAACAAGAAGAGGGCTTTCAGAGGGGGCAACAAAGAGGAGGTGAGGAAGGTCCAGGTGTTACTAAAGGACAAGATCAGAGAGGCTAAGGACAATTACAGGAGGAAGCTGGAGTGGAAACTCCAGCAGAACAGCATGAGAGAGGTGTGGAGGGGCATGAAGACCATCACTGGATTCAGGCCAACCAACAGCAGGGGAGCTGAGGGAGGTGAGAATAGAGCCGACGAGTTGAATCTGTTTTTCAATAGATTCGACACCACAGTGTCTGCTCCCACCCCCACAACCTCACCTGCAGTCAGCCTGGAATCCAGAGCCACACCACTGTGCCAGCCTCTCTCTTCACATGGCGCTGTTGTCAACAGAAAAGTTTGCCCACAAACCACTCACCCAACACACCTGTTGCGAACACCGAGATCAGGTAAATAGACTGTGACCACACCCCCATGCAATCACCTGAGATGCAGGTAAAGCTATACACCTGTGCCACCATAACAAATAAGCAAAACATAAACATTGACTTTGGCTCTTACAATACCAGCCCCTAATTATCTTTTAAATAATAATTACAAAATAATCAAGTCTTACATCCTTTACTTGTTCATAAAACATTTCAATCGCCCTTTAGTGCAACATGCATCAGTACTACTACTTGTGGTTCACCATCTGTGAAGTTAATCAGAATCAGAATCAGAAAGGGGTTTATTGCCAAATGTTGAGCAGGTTTACAACATTAGGAAATTGCTGCGGTGCTTCAGTGCAAAACATAGTGTCATAAATAGCACTTAAATAGACATGAAAAAATAAAAGTAGGGATAAGAATTAAAAGTGCTACGTAGAAAGATATGTGCATGAGATAATAACCCATAAGTAAAAGGAGTAGGTCACTTAAAGATTATCCAGTCAGTCCAATATGTTAAATATTGTCTGCTTCCTGCAAAAGACAGACTTTATTTATAGGTCTGTTTAGGAACCCGGTCTTTGTCTTGATCCGAAGCTGACGAACAAATCCCCTTTTGTCCTGGATTGTCTCTTCTATTTTTCCAGTTATGCAGGAATTCCGTGGTGCGGAATCATCAGCAATGATCACAATGTCTCCTGGCATGAAGTTTCGTTTTGGGTTGCACCATTTCTGTCTTTGTTGCAGTTGTGGAAGATATTCTTTAATCCACCTTTTCCAGAATAAATCTGACATATATTGGACTTGTTTCCATCTGCGACGAGCATATATGTCATCTTTCTGAAAACATCCTGGTGGTAATGATGGTGCAGTCTTAAGAAGCAACAGGTGGTTTGGAGTAAGCGCTTCAAAATAGCTTCAGCTTCACATAAAACAGTCCTGAGGCTCTCTTCATCAAGACTTTGTACATCCATCCATCCATCCATCCATCCATCTTCATCCGCTTTATCCGAGGCCGGGTCGCGGGGGCAGCAGCCTAAGCAAAGAGGCCCAGACCTCCCTCTCCCCAGCCACCCCCTCCAGCTTATCCGGGGGAACACCAAGGCGTTCCCAGGCCAGCCGAGAGATATAATCTCTCCAGCGTGTCCTGGGTCTGCCCCGGGGCTTCCTCCCGGTGGGACATGCCTGGAACACCTCACCCAGGAGGCGCTCAGGGGGCATCCTTGTCAGATGCCCGAACCACCTCAGCTGGCTCCTTTCGATGTGGAGCAGCGGCTCCACTCTGAGCCCCTCCTGAATGGCCGAACTTCTCACCCTATCTCTAAGGGAGAGACCAGCCACCCTTCAGAGGAAGCTCATTTCTGCCGCTTGTATCCGCGATCTCGTTCTTTCAGTCACTACCCACAGCTCGTGGCCATAGGTGAGGGTAGGGACGTAGATCGACCGGTAAATTGAGAGCTTCGCTTTTACACTCAGCTCCCTCTTCACCACGACGGACCGGTGCAGCGTCTGCATTACTGCAGCCCCAATCCGTCTGTCGACTTTGTACATTTAAGGTGGAATTAAGAATCTTTCTCACAGATCTTATAAGTCTTTCCCATACACCTCCATGATGTGACCCAGCTGGGGGATGGAAAGTCCATTTAATGCCCTTTTGAAGAAGGGTATTGTGTATACAACGTTGATTCCAATCTGCTATCATTTCCTTCAGCTCATGATGGGCTCCCACAAAGTTGGTGCCGTTGTCAGATTGCAGTTCTTTTACTTGGCCACGTCTGGCAATAAAGCGACGAAGGGCATTGATAAAAGAGTCTGTGTCCAGTGATGATGCCATTTCAATAACAATCAGCTCCTCAACTTTGAGACTGCTGGTGTCCAGACAGTATCTCTTTGTTTGAAGTTCAAGATGTTGTTCAGGATCGTGTTTAATCTGTAGTTTTCTTCTACTGTAATGCAGAAGCAGTTTTTTAACTCTCAGAATCCATGCTACTGCACGCTTCAGCCGAGTCCAGGATGAAAAATATTGAATGAAGTGAGAAACCGGATCCATAAACATTGACTTTGGCTCTTACACTCAGGCCTCTCTCACTTTCCACAATTCTCTTAAACAGGCTGGTTAAAGAGTCCACCGCCGAGCTCCAGTGCTCCTGGTCTTGCTTCCTTTCCTGCTCTCCTGCATGCACCGTCCTTCTCTCCATTCTCTCCCTTTACCAGTTATAGTTCCTACATTTAGAGTCCTACTCTTAGCTCCACATTCCTGCCTTTCCTTCTCTCTCACTGCCTCCACACACCTTCTCCTCCTCTGTGGCTAACAGTAGCACTGGAGGAGATCGTTTCCAATACGGAAATCATATTTTTTATGATCTCCATCAAAATGCTGGATACCCTTCCTGATGCAACCCTCTCCATTTATCTGGGAACTAGGAGAGCTTTGGCTTGTGGCCTCTTGTGGCTGGGTTACTCTCATATATATGACTAAAATGTCTGTGATGCAGGATCCAGTGGACAAACAGAAAACCTCACTATTTTAATCTAAAGAAAGAAAACTGACAAATGAAAAACAACAAAGTTCCTTACCCCAAAGCTTCTTAACACTTATGTTTGTTGCTTCGTGAGTGACGTTACAGATGAACGTTGACAAGTCAGACTTTAGTATCTCCACATGGTCTCTCCTCTGGAAGGTATCGTCTCCATTGGGAAGTCCTCCTGAGCTCATCAGGCCGTCGTCTTTAGCGAGAACACGTCCGTTCCTTTTGATCCTAACAATGATGTCTTTTGTGTAGAAGCCTGTGGCGAGGCAGGTCAGGATGAGGTTTGTCTCCACTTTGGCCTTCTTTGCAAACACGTACACGACAGGCGGAGCTGGAGAGAGAAAAATAATGTGCACGAGGTAACTAAAAGATAACTGTACATCTGTAATCAATACCTTAATAATAAATGTAATCACTCATTATAGCAACTACTGCGATTTCAAACAGGCATGCTGCCGATACTAAAATTAGAAACCTGTTCACTTTCACAGATTTTAGATCTTTTTTAGTTATTGTTTCTGCCTTGGCTTAACTCTCGCCACAGAGAATACATAATATGCAAAAGTCAAAAGGTGAAATAAAACTACATGTTAAAAACAATGAAAATTCATTATACATGTATTTTTAATCTTTCTCCATCAAAAAAAAGCAGGATGAACTTCAGCTGCTTTCCTGCTCATCCATATTTCAGCAAATCAGCATTCACATCCTGAACATCACCGCTGGACTACAAACTGCTGTTTTTCTGTTAGCACTGCCAGCATGTTTGCTTAGGCTGCAGCCAAATCTTTCTCTCTATGCAGCCTGAGGATATAAATGTGATTTCAGTGATTCCACTTGGGAAAGTTCCACAGCTGCTTTGGGGTCTCCACACAGAAACAGCTCACCTGCACTGTAAACACTCAAAGTAATGAAATAAATGGTTAATGTCAACTTAAGTTTTTAAAAACACTCCTACTGTCACGGCGGGGGCAGCAGTCGTGTGGTGGAGTGAATGAGGACCCAAGTTGCAGACAGCAGTGGAGATGCGAGTGAGGTTTATTTGTAGTGCTCAGTAAGAAAAGGCGAGGGCAGAACTAAGCATAACCCTAAACTGGGGAAAACTAATAATAACAAAACACGAAACCATAACTCACAAAGTCACACGCAGGGAAAACAAGAGGGATGAAGGGATGAAGAGCTGGGAATGGAGATCAGAGTGTGGCGCAGAGAGACGCAGAGACGCCCAAAAGATGCAGGATAACACAGACGAACCAACGAGGAACACAGGCAGGCACACACTATAAATACACACAAGGTAACGACGGAATGACACACAGCTGAACCTAAGTAGACACACACTTTCAAAGTAAAACAAGAAACACACAGACTGTTTTACAACACAAACTCGGGGACATGAACAGAACACAGGACCATGACACCTACTCACTCAAACAGCTTAGGTTCATCTAACATTTTCTTCTATTTGAGCGATTTTGTCACCTGTAATCTAAAAATGTAAAATTGAATTTTACTTATTTAAATTATCTGGCTGACATGTTTGGAAGATTTTGATTCCTGGGGTCAATGTGACCACAAGCATAAAAGATATTAGTCTTTACTGCAGCGGTCGTCAACTTTACACATTAAGATGAAGGTCAGGATCTACCGTTTCAAATTTCAAAGGCATAAAATTCTACAAATGCTGAAAAATATTGATTCTCCTCTGAACAAATGGTCAGTTTTAACAAGTTTAATTTAGAATAATATATGCTGAACTAAAAAAATGACACAACAGTCTCAAATCTGCAGAAAAGGTAGAATATATCAAAAATATATAAAAGAAAAGCTGCGCTGTATTACACTGAGTTCTAGGGGAAAAGGGAGATTTTTAGATTTCACACTGACTAACAGGACAAATAACAAAGTTAAAAAAAGAAGTACTAGCATTTCAAACCCAAACTATGCTAAACTGTCACAAAGGCTACATCCATGCTAGCCCAGATACATTTGAAAACGGCGTTTTCATCTAAAAACGCTCCGCGTCCACACTAGCGTTTTCAGTCGTTTTCACAGAGTTGTGCGTCCACATTGAAACGGGCAAAAATTCTTACGTTCCCGTCCTGCGCATGCGTGAAATGCAAGACGATTCGACCTGCCCCATTTCTGCCTGCTGTTTATTTACCTTCCGGTGTTGTCCCAAAGTAGGTATCCCTGACAGAATTTGTTTCCCCTCTGCTGGAAGCACGCAGGAAGTACTGATGTTTTGATTTTGTGAAAAAGTGAAAAATTAGTATCGTTCAGTTTGAGGGTTACAACAGAAAATTATATATTTATTGCTCACGGGGTATCAGATGGAATTATTTTAACAAACCATTAACATTTTGGCTGATAACTATTTTTATTCTCCTGTAACTTTACTATATAAAGAGCTAAATCCTCCAAAGTTTCAGGAGTCATAATAACCAGTGTTTGTGAACTAAAAATCAGCAATGTGGGAGACTGTTTGTCAGTGATTTTGGACAGTACAGCGTGTGCTCCCGACGCAGGGGAAACAGATTCTGTCGGGGATACCTAGTGAAAAGTCGCGGCAAAATGTCAAGGAAAAGCAGCAAGTCTTTTAAATGGACTAAAAATGAGGTGGAGTTGTTGCTGTGAGTAACACAAAAGTACAAAGTTGCAAAAGCGAGTGAGAATTGAAGAATTTGAAGAAAAGCTATCAGGAGTATGTACAGACTGATATTAATCTTTAATAGGGCTGTCAGAACTGAGAGCAAACAAATCAGCTGCTGTATAATGCCCTCCGCTATCTTGGTTTAATTGGTCAAGTAAGGCAGTGACTGGAATTGGTCACAAGGTGTCACTGTTGAACCGCATATACGTAGATTACATAGATACATATATTTTAGCAAATTTGACCATTTGTCCACTGCAGGACACCGTAGTTCAGATTTCTCATTCGCGCGGGCGCCATCTTGGCCAGCAGCAGCGTTGAAGTGGTGTTTGCCCCAGCATCTGAATAAACGCCTGTGTCCGACTGGTCTCTCTACTTGAACCCCAATCCAACACAAACGTACACAACACAGAGTCCGGGGTGTAGGGAGGCCCCTGCACTGGTTGGGTTACAGTCCCATGACTGCATCACATGACTAAAATGTGTCATAGTTTTGAAAAAGTCTCAGTTTTTTCTGTCCACACTGTGACGCGAATGCACCGTTTTCTAAAGCGTTTTCAATCAGCAAAAAACGCAGTCTCAGTGTGGACGAGAGGCCAAAACAGAGAGAAAATAATGCGTTTTCAAACAAAAACGCATTATGGTGGACATAGCCAAAGTTAGTGTGATAGCTTCTCAAGGGGATCAACCACTGTAAGCGGTGTGAGGGAGTGTGAACTCTTTCTTTGGGGAAACCCAAAGGTGTAAACCAGCTGTGTGCTGCCTTTTGTTTTGTAGAAGGTATTTAAACCCAGGGCTGTGTTGGAGGGAGAGACTCTGCTGGTCAGTGTCCTGATAGCCGCTCTCTCTCTCTCACCAAGCTTGGGTTTTTATTAAAGGATGTCAGCTCCCACTCACCGTTGTCTGCAGGCTTCATTAAATGAAAACTTCCATAACACATGTAACCAGATATAATGCACAGTAGTTCCCCTAACACTGTATAAAATCTACCAAAAGCTCATGTGATGACCGTGACTGCACAGCATCAGTTAGCGCTCTGTAGTCAGGCTCATAGTTGGACACACCCAGTCTCAAGCTCCCATTCTGAATGAAAGGGGTAGGTTTTCGGCTTCTTACAGACGCCATCTGCCATCTTACCCTGCTACACGGTCTGCAGTTTCAGCCAAACGACTCTGCAGCCAATCAAACATCACGAGACATTCAGAGAAGTGACTGAACTTCTGATAGGTTAAAGTAATATGTTAATAGCCTAAAATGCTTTGCGACCTACTTTCATTGACACAGATTGACAGGTTGATCGACTGGTTAGCGAACCCTGCTTTAGTGTGATGTAACAGCTGGGCAGATTTAGATTCTGAGAAAATACAATGGAGTACAAGTAACCCCCCCCCCTCAAAAAAAAAAAAAATTGTTTTTTGGCTGTTGTTTTTTGAAACTCTCATTCAGTGAGAAGAGATTTAAGAGAGCTACTGTTTTGGCTGAAATGTAACACTTTCACAGCAGAACCACAGTTACCATGAAGCTCAAACTGGGATTTTGACTGGCCTCAGAACTGATTACTGTCTGACACTGATCACCTGATTTTACCTACAGTTTGTTCAAAATTCATTTTAGTTGTAACTAAAATGATACCTAACTTTCAAACAGAACTCCTACACACCAGGTGATACTCAAAGACACAAAGGTATAAGACCAAACTTCTGGGTCACAACTAACTTAAAAGACAAACAACAAACATTTATTACTAAATCTACTTACTCTAGACTCTACTAATGAAGATTATAACAACAGAAAGATTATTAAATACATACGGGCTTTTTGTAGTTGCTTTTTCCATTTGATGCACACATTCTCCAGGTATCCCTTGATGCGCTCTTTCATGGCCTGATCACTGTCCCACTCTCTCATGGTGAGTTGGGCCTCTCGAATCGCGGCGATCCAGGATTTGGTTTTAGAATCGAAGGAAAGGAGGTTGTGTCCATCATAGGCGTACGTGTGCATAGCGCGATGAAACTTGAGCGTGCCATCAGGCTGCATTTTGCCCTCACAGCCACGCATCCCCTGAAGAACATGGACAACTGAAAGACGGACGAAATAAATAAAGGGCAGGTTAGAGATTTAAAAAACCCTTCTGATTTAAACAAAAGAGCAGGAACAACTTTGTCCTGACTTGAAAAACGTAAAAGACATTTTTATAAAGAAACGCTTCAGTTGGAGATCAACTTGGTGCTCTTGTTAATGGTGCTTGACATTTCGTGGAGCTTACCCGAGTCATTCTGTCTCATTCGATTCATTAGGCTTTCTAACCACTGTTCCTGTGTTCCTTTTCCCCAGTACTCAGCAGATAAACACTCTCTCATCCACTCCTGTTTGGGAACTTTCCTCTCACTCTCACTGTCGTAGTAGTCGATCCTCCTGCCGTCCAGCAAACCCATGGCTGTGAACTTGTGGATGCCCGGAGTGCCGTCGGGTTTGGAGTGCGCCGTGTAGATGCAAGTGAGGGAGTGAATCTCTGAAAGTCACGAAAGGAAGAAAAACATAGAAAGATATTTATTTACGCTGCACAGCTGAGAAGCTCCAGCTGACTGCGCTCTCTTCTCCTCTTATTCACCGTCTGTTGCTTGTTTAATAAATCTGCCTTCACTACCTCTGCTCCTCACATGTTCACCTTTCCACCTGTCTCCCTCTCGTTCACACACACATCTATTCTGTCTTGCATCTACTGACTTTCATTCCTCTTCTGTCCAGAGCATACCTTCACTTCTCCAGGCTCTCCTCTACCTGCTCCGTATTACCCTTACTCCATTTCTCCTCATATCTACGCCAGTGTCATAAAAGGTTTTCTGCAAACTCAGCTCAGTCTGCTCAGCAGATGGCGCAAACTCTCACAGTGCTTCCAGTACTCTTCTTTAGCTCCTTCCTCACATGATCAGCACTCGAGAAGGGAGGGGTTTGTCAGGTGAGGGGTGAGAGGCAAGGATGTGAAGTGGTGACACACTAAATGTGGGAGTGATATTTGGATTGGAGGGTGGTGGTGGAGGGGTGAGACAGGGGGAGGAAGGATGCATGGGGCAGTCTCAGGTGGTGTGAAGTAGGGTAGCAGATGTGGGTGGGGTCTGACAGTGACATGATGCCTGCCGTGTCGCTGTGTCGTGAGCCAATTTTGTCAGCCGTGCACGTCTCAATTTTGGTAACGTGGTGTGTTGTGCCGCAGCCATCGCAGCTGGGTTGAAGGGAGGAGAGTTTGATGGTGTTGGGTTTCCCTGCCACTTTAACAACGTCCCACAGAAGCTCAGACATACACAGAGATGCTGGAACAGGCTGGAAACTTGAGTTAGTGGAAAAAGTCTTGGCTTCTGCTTTTGACTTCTCCTCCTACTCACTGAGCTGGTGATACCGTCTGAGTGACAACATCTGTTGCTCAAGCCAAGACTTTATGCCAGATTAGGCCGCTTCCTGAGGCGACCCTAGGAGTAGTAGGAGTACACTGGATTGTGCCCCCCTTGGCTTGGTTATGCACATGGACAGACCTCTGATTTAAATTGAATGATCTTTGTTGGCATTAAAGTTATACAGTTACACGTTATACACAGTATTGGCAGTATGTTGAATTGTGTATTTGTTAGTGACTAAAAGCCTAAATGAAAATACATTGTACGATGTATTTTCTTCACAAGATGCTGAAGATGAATAAAATAGAATCTACCATAATTCTACTAACTAATGAGCAGTTTTATAAACAACACAGGGGGAGGTTTGGGCAGCAGGGCCGTGCAGAGAGGTTTAAAGGGGCGGGTGCTCAAAGTTAAAAAGGGGCACATTAAACCAGGCTGAATAACAACAATACACATTCATCAAGAATCTAATATGGGCAACAAGGCAAAGCAAACGTAGCCGATGCTTTACCTGATGGGTACAATGTTGTGGATAGTGCTGGAGGGCAGGGCTGTGTTGATCTGAGACTGTAGACATTAAAAAGTCCACAGGAGAGATGGTAGCTGATTAAACAAGTGTCATGAGATAACAACAAATTGCAAAGATTGGTGACAGCGCTTGGAACCATAAGGCAACAAAAAACTGTGAGAAATAAACTCGGCTCTGCCTGTGAATCACTCTTTGCTTCTCTTCTTCCTTCCATCCCATCATTTCATATATCACTCTCCACTTGCTGTCTATCTGAGAACAAGGCACAACTTGCTATTGCAATAAACTATAATCTAATTATCCACACCTAACAACTCCTGCACTTAATCTAAAATAAAATGATGACAGAAAAATGTTATAGCCCTGCCTTTAGTAGCCTCACACAGCTCTGCTGTTTCCTCCTCATGTCCTTACCAGGCATGTCTGGACAATGTTATATCATGAGTAAATCCATCTAAATAAAACACACACATGCACGCACACACAGTGACATTTTAGACCTTCTTCAGAATACTGTATATACTATGGGCATCACGGTGCTGATCCAGAATCCTTACATTATTATTTATTACTAGAGCTACAATAATAAAGCAATGAGGAGGGGGAAGTAATAAATATGAAATAATGTATTTATGATGATTCCATTTGTTTCACTATCCACTCTGTGCAGGGCAAAGCTTATTACATCTTTAAACTGTAGAGATACAATCATTTTACTGCTGTAACATCCAAATTTTGTCTTATTAAAAATATAAATCTAATATAATCTGCTTCTTAATGTATGTTCTTTAAATTACAGCGTGTGTTTTTAATATATTATAATTATAATAATGCATAATTATGTGGACATGCATATTAGATCGTTTTTTAGTGAAATATAATCCCTCCAGAAAGGCAGGAAAAGCCCGGAAACTTACTTTAAAACTAAATATGTTCCCTGAAACGGTGACAGAGCTACAGACCCATGACAGCCTTACACAGGTAGCCAGCAGCTGTGACCAGCACTACCTGTGCAGTTAATAAAAGGACAGGTAATGTTTGTCACGCTGTTGCACACACAGCACGCTCGTTTGTTTCAGTTCGTTAGTTGCCACAAGACAGCTTACCAACGTGTACGTAATAAGCTAATACTCCTGTGTGCTACACACTACAGTGTGCGCTGTACACCTACTTACTGGTTTTGTCGCATCAGTCTGTGTCTCTGAGTTAACTTGTGTTTCTCCTACAGCTCCGGACCGCTAAAAATGCGCGTGCTCTTTGTGAGCTCGTTCCCGGCTCGTAACCAGCGCGTTCTGCCCTCGAGGGCGATCATTGGTTAAATGTGATCATGTGACTGATGCAAGCCAGATCCTTTTATTTAGCAAAACTGTGATTAATAGTTAAATATTATTGTTGAGGGGCACAGACAGGACTCGGCACGCACACACACATTAAAAAAAAAAATTAAAAAAAATTTAAAAGTTGCCTCAACAAAAGGGCACTTTGGGCACTCATCAGGAAAGGGGCGGGTGCTCAAGCCCCTCTAGCCCCCCTCTGCACGTCCCTGTTGGGCAGGTCCCTACTAACGAATTACACACACACACCTTCTGATTTCTAAAAGTTCATAATCATGAGTAAACCGACCTCTGCGTGTCTGCTGTACCCGTGCGCTCGTGTTACATCACTGTCATGAAGTAAATAAAAACGCATTATATGTTCCGTGAAGTCTCAAGAGTAACCGTCCTTCTTTACTTTCACTTTCATTAAAATGTCCTGAAAAAGTAAACTCACCGCTGTTGGCAGCCAGTCCTGCCCCCAGAAGGACGAGAACTGTGACGAAGAACATCTGACACATACAGAAGACCTTCTTCTCATTTCTAAACTCGCTTTTATTTGATTTTTCGACCGTGTTTCTTCTTCATCTTCTGAGATACTTATTTCCTGCCTGCGGCGCGTTCACGGCCTGCTCTGAATTTAGACACTATATAAATGTGGCGTTCAATGCACGTGTATTTTTTCGCGTGTTTTATGTCTACCAGTGAGTATTAGGACCATATTAAGAAAAAAAAAAGATTATCAATCATTTTGAGATTAAAGCTGAAATGTGGAGATTACAGTTGTTGTTTCAAGACAATCTGCCATCTGTACCCTCTCAGTTAGTGAAACCCTACTTTTCCTTTCTTGTTACTAACCGTTTTTAGTAACAAAGAATAAAGAAATTATTTGTCTTTTAGAACACAAATATATTACTGTGGTGATACGTATAAGGACGCTGGAGCGAGTGCACAAAACAGAATCTAGTCAGATGTAAAACACACAAACTGTGAGGAGTGGATTGGACAAAATGAAACAGCTGGTCATGGAAAGATGCGCAACTCATCTCAACAAAGCACTTTGTAGAGCAGGAGTGGGCAACTCCAGGCCTCACAATGGCCGGTGTCCTGCAGGTTTTAGATCTCACCTTGGGTCAACACACCTGAATCACATGATTAGTTCGTTACCAGGCCTCTGGAGAACTTCAGGACATAAGGGCTGTGTCCAAATTAAGAGACTGCACGATTGAAGTACGCATTTTAAGTGCGGTTACATCACCGCCACGCGACGACGGCTGTCCCAATTCGAAGTGTACTTCAAATGCATACTCCAAATGCGCCGTCGATTTCCCCAAATATCAAGCGTGGTCCGGTGCACGCTTCGTGGTCCCATATATCCCACAATTCATAGCGCGGCGGTGGGTGTGGAGAATTTTGTCGCAAAATACGGCAGACGGGAGCGGCTGAAGAGGTTGTTTTTTTTTTCCAAACTTTATTGAAACCATAAAGCGAACAGTCAGTCATTCCAGTTCAGTAGACATACAAGGCAAATAAGAGTAACAATATACAGTACAATGAAATAAGAAGGATAAATAAATAAAGGAGAAAAAAGAAGAAAGGGGGGAATGTGGCAGACTTCATAACAACTTTGTACTTAAAAGTTGTGACAGCTCATTTGTTAAACATTTCTGAACGAATTTCAATCAATGATAAACCTTTTTTATTAGAAGTTAATTTAAGAGAGTTTAAGTAATATTCAATTTCAATCAAAAACAAATTAAATGATGGGGTTGAGTTTTGAAATTTACATTTATGTATGTGGAATTTCCCTAATAAGATGGAGCGGCCGAAGAGTGAACTGTCAAAAGTACTGAATATGACGTCACTTATTTATGTGCGAATGTTTAATAATTAAAGTCAGTCATATATCCACAAACACAACAAGCTGAAAGTCAGTGATATATGTATATGTGTGTGGCCAATATTATAGTATTGTCAGATTATTATGATTATATATATATATATATATATATATACACTCAACAAAAATATAAACGCAACACCTTTGTTTTTGCTCCCATTCCCCATGTGATGGACGTAGAGACCTAAAATTCAGTCCAGATACACAATATAACCATCCCTCCCAAACAGTGGTCACAAATCAGTCCAAATGTGTGGTAGTGGGCACATCTGCCATATTGAGATAATCCATCCACCTCACAGGTGTGCCACATCAGGATGCTGATCTGACATCATGAGTAGTGCACAGGTGTACCTCAGACTGCCCACAACAAAAGGCCACCCTGGAATGTGCAGTTTTTTGCGCTATTGGGGGTCTGGGGACCCAGAACCGGTCAGTATCTGGTGTGACCACCATTTGCCTCATGCAGTGCAACACATCGTCACATGGAGTCTATCAGATTGTCAATTGTGGCCTGTGGAATGTTGGTCCACTCCATTTCAATGGCTGTGCGAGGTTGTTGGATATTCGTGGGAACTGGTACACGCTGTCGTATACGCCGGTCAAGCACATCCCGAACATGCTCAATGGGTGACATGTCCGGTGAGTATGCTGGCCATGCAAGAACTGGGACATTCTCAGCTGCCATCTGCCCTGAACAATGTGAACCATGATTCATCCGTGAAGCGCACACCTCTCCAACGTGCCAGACGCCATCGAATGTGAGCATTTGCCCACACAAGTCTGTTACGGCGACGAGCTGGAGTCAGGTCAAGACCCCGATGAGGACGACGGGCATGCAGTTGAGCGTCCCTGAGACGGTTTCTGACAGTTTGTGCAGAAATTGTTTGGTTGTGCAAACCAATTGTTCCAGCAGCTGTCTGGGTGGCTGGTCTCAGACGATCTTGGAGGTGAACCTGCTGGATGTGGAGGTCCTGGGCTGGTGTGGTTACACGAGGTCTGCGGTTGTGAGGCCGGTTGGATGTGCTGCCATATTCTCTGAAACGCCTGTGGAGACGGCTTATGGTTGAGAAATGAACATTCAATGCACGGGCGACAGATCTGGTTGACATTCCTGCTGTCAGCATGCCAATTGCACGCTCCCTCATTGCTGTGAGACAAAACTGCACATTCCAGGGTGGCCTTTTGTTGTGGGCAGTCTGAGGTACACCTGTGCACTACTCATGATGTCAGATCAGCATCCTGATGTGGCACACCTGTGAGGTGGGATGGATTATCTCAATATAGCAGATGTGCCCACTACCACACATTTGGACTGATTTGTGACCACTGTTTGGGAGGGATGGTTATATTGTGTATCTGGAATGAATTTTAGGTCTCTACGTCCATCCCATGGGGAATGGGAGCAGTAACAAAGGTGTTGCGTTTATATTTTTGTTGAGTGTATATATATATATATATATATATATATACACATACACATACACATATATATATATATACACCCAGCACGCCCCTGCGGGCGGTTTATCCTTCAAGCTCGGGTCCTCTACCAGAGGCCTGGGAGCTTGAGGGTCCTGCGCAGTATCTTAGCTGTTCCCAGGACTGCGCTCTTCTGGACAGAGATCTCCGATGTTATTCCCGGGATCTGCTGGAGCCACTCGCCTAGCTTGGGAGTCACCGCACCTAGTGCTCCGATTACCACGGGGACCACCGTTACCTTCACCCTCCACATCCTCTCGAGCTCTTCTCTGAGCCCTTGGTATTTCTCCAGCTTCTCGTGTTCCTTCTTCCTGATATTGCTGTCATTGGGAACCGCTACATCGATCACTACGGCCGTCTTCTTCTGTTTGTCTACCACCACTATGTCCGGTTGGTTAGCCACCACCATTTTGTCCGTCTGTATCTGGAAGTCCCACAGGATCTTAGCTCGGTCATTCTCCACCACCCTTGGGGGCATCTCCCATTTTGACCTCGGGACTTCCAGGTTATACTCGGCACAGATGTTCCTGTACACTATGCCGGCCACTTGGTTATGGCGTTCCATGTATGCCTTGCCTGCTAGCAACTTGCACCCTGCTGTTATGTGCTGAATTGTCTCTGGGGCATCTTTACACAGCCTGCACCTGGGGTCTTGCCTGGTGTGATAGACCCCAGCCTCTATGGATCTTGTACTCAGAGCTTGTTCTTGTGCTGCCATGATTAGTGCCTCTGTGCTGTCTTTCAGTCCAGCTTTGTCCAGCCACTGGTAGGATTTCTGGATATCAGCCACCTCCTCTATCTGCCGGTGGTACATACCGTGCAGGGGCCTGTCCTTCCATGATGGTTCCTCGTCTCCCTCCTCTTTCTTGGGTTTCTGCTGCCTGAGGTATTCACTGAGCACTCGGTCAGTTGGAGCCATCTTCCCAATGTATTCTTGGATGTTCGTTGTCTCATCCTGGACTGTGGTGCTGACACTCACCAGTCCCCAGCCCCCTTCCTTCCGCTTAGCGTACAGCCTCAGGGTGCTGGACTTGGGGTGAAACCCTCCATGCATGGTAAGGAGCTTTCTTGTCTTTATGTCAGTGGCTTCTATCTCCTCCTTTGGCCAGCCTATTACCCCAGCAGGGTACCTGATCACGGGCAGGGCGTACGTGTTGATGGCCCGGATCTTGTTCTTACCATTCAGCTGACTCCTCAGGACTTGCCTGACCCTCTGCAGGTACTTGGTGGTTGCAGCCTTTCTAGCGGCCTCTTCATGGTTCCCATTTGCCTGCGGGATCCCCAGGTACTTGTAACTGTCCTCTATGTCTGCAATGTTGCCTTCTGGTAGTTCAATCCCCTCAGTTCTGACTACCTTCCCTCTCTTTGTTACCATCCGACTACACTTCTCCAGTCCGAACGACATTCCAATGTCATTGCTGTATAGCCTGGTAGTGGATCAGTGAAGCAGCTGGATAGCGTAGTGGTTAGACTACACGCCTTTGGAACAGAGGATCGCAAGTTCGATTCCTGCCTGGGGCGTCTGTATCCAGTAAGGGTCCTAAGGCTAGACCCCCTATGCTATGCGAGCCTACCGCAGACATGAGCGAGACAGATAAATATGAAGGCATGCCGGCTCGGACGTCGCCCGGATCAACAAGGTCCGCGTCAGGTGTTGAGGAACCAGGGCACCCTGACGAAAAGTGGGCTACTGGAACAAGAAGGCATCGGTGGGCAAGATATGAAAACAGGGCGTTGTTGGAATGCTACTACGCAAGTAACCCCGGCGGAAGGGGCTACATGAATAGGATGACGGACCTATGGATTCTTCGATACCCAACATCCACAATGACGGCGAAACAACTAGTAGCTCAGTGTTCCAACATTCGAAAGAAGGGACTGCTCTCACAGCTAGAGATTGACGAGGTACAACACAAATGCTACGGCAAGGAGGAGTCAGGACGCCAGGTCAGGGGGGAGATATCATCACCCCCACCCGAGATTGGGTACATAGCCCCAAGTACGATAGGAGAAGGATCGTTGAGTGCGAGAGGAACTGACCTGAAAAATAGGATAATGGCCAAGCTTGATCCCCCGTAGCCGGTTACCAAGATTACGTGAAGTACCCTCAGAAGGTCTGCTAGATGATGTTAATGCAGCATTACGGACAATACCTACAACCACAGAAAGGAATTGGCAAGAATACCAGAGGCGCAAAACACCAGCTACTGGTAGACAGAACAATCAGCCGAGAC